GTTTTAAAAAGTTAGAAAGCGTATGAAGTAAAAAGGTGCAGCAAGCTGAGGTTAATTTGCTATTAAATAAAGAAGTGTTTTAATAAGTGGGCGACTTCACAGCCACCTGGCACTCACTCGCTGACTCACCCAGGGCAACCTTCAGCCCTGCAAGCTCCACTCTCGGTCAGGGCCCCACGCAGGTGTCCCACTGTTTGTCTCTCATACGTGTTTTTACTGTGCCTCTTCTGTTTAGATGCATTTAGGTGCACAAGTCCTCACTGCTGTGTGACGGCTGCCTGCAGCGTCCAGGACGGCACTGTGCCATCCCGGTTTGTGGTCTAGCAGCCATGGGCTACACCATCCGGCCCGAGTGTCCAGGGGCTGCCCCAGCCAGGTGTCCAGGGCTGTGTGAGAGCACTCTAGGAAGTTTGCATGACAACGAAACCACCTAATGACGCCCTTCTCAGAGCGAGTCCCCATCATGAAGTAATGCAGGGCTCTATTCCATTTTCAGGAGCACCTGCCCTGCCCCTGGCACGAGGAGGGAGGAATATGAGGGTTCAGGGCAGTTGCAAAGGGCCACAGGGTCAGGGGGGCATTTCCTCCTCTCCCTCAGCCCCCAGGCTTCAGTCACTGCCTTTACAGAACCCCGGACCAGAGGCCTCTAGTCCCCGTGCCGGGATAGCCATGCCCGCAAATCTGGGCTCCCTCTTTAGAAAAGGAGTGTACATCAGCAGAGATTTCACCACACGTGCAGGGAATGAACGGGAAGAGGAAGTTGACAGGGTGAGAGAGGACCCGGGGGGTCTTTCCTGCTTCTGAGGCTGGGGTGGGGGGTGGGCATCACCTCCCTTGGGATCAGCCTCCCTGGTGGCCAATGCTCGAGCAGGTGCCGGGGCATCTTCTGAGGGCTGAGGTCTCACTCCGCTGCTCAGAGGCAGCCTCATTTGCTCTGACGGGGCTGCTTTTGAGGGTAGGGAGCAGTCTACCGTGTCCTCACAAGCTTTCTTGAGATGCAATTCACACACCACACAACTCACTGCTTTAAGGTGTACAATTCAATGATTTCTAGAAAATTCACAGAGTAATGCAGCCATCACCACAGTCACTTTTTAGCACTTTCACCAACCCCTACAGAAACCCTGAGCCCATTCCCAGTCCATCCCAGTCCTTGCAGCCTCCCTGCTCCACTCCAGCCCGTGGCCCACTCATCCTCCTCCTGTCTCCCTGGATCTGCCTGTCCTGGGCATTGCATGGAAAGGAACCATGCTCTGCATGACTTTCTGTGTCTGGCTCGGTCACCGTGCATCATGTTTGCAGGACTCGCAGTGCTGGAGGCTGTGCTAGTGCTGCCTGCATGGCTGCTTTGGGGAATCCAGCCTTGATGGTGCTTCAAGGCCCTGGAGATCGTCTGAAAGGGCCCCTGGAGGAAGGGCCGGCCCTAGTGAGAGCAGAGTGTGAGAGCACTCCCCGGCGTCCTGGGGTGGGTGGGCTGATGTCCCAGGGTGTGCGGCCCAAGGCACATGGTGTCATCCCTCCAACATGCTAACACGGAGAGTATTTATCTGAGTTGGAGCCTCGGGAGGGATAAAACTGACAAGATAGAGAGAGTGTGGACACGGGGAGGAGGGGCCAGGTTGTGAGTCAGTTATGTGTAGATGCACAGATGAGAGGCAGGGCTCAGATGCTCAAAAACAAATCAATACCAAAAAATCGGATCCCTTTCCCAGTGGAGGCAGCATCTTATTGAGGCCCAGGACCTGCTCCCTCCCCTCCCACTCCGAACTTCAGGAATTCTCAATTCTCCTGAGCCTGAAACAACTTGGTACCTGTCACCTGGTTAATTCTTGAACTGTGTGACAGACATTAAGCCCTTTGGAAGGCAATTGGAGATGTGGGATTAGCAGAAAGGAAGTCATAAGTTCACATGAGGGAAACAACTCGGGACTCCTGCAGCCATGGACCCACTTGCCACCCCCTTCTTTAGCCTCACAGGGAGCACCAGGTGGCCAGTCCAGCAAACCAGGAAGGCCAGGAAGCTTGGGAGCAGATAGGAGACATTGTGGGTAGGGAGAGAGACGATGGGCGAGGAAGCAAAATGCCAGGACCAGCTTCTGGGGATCCCGCGGACCAGGCAAAGGTCACAGTCAGCAAATGAAATAAATGCAAGAGGGGTCATCAGCAGCAAAGCCATGCCTAACAGAAGGGCAGATCCAGGCTCTCTCGGCCCAAGGTGTCACAGTTTGGGGCACCCATTTAAGAAAAATAACACAAACTCCAATTGCAAAATTATATACTGAGTGAATCTTCCCTTAGAACGAGAAGAGAGTATAACAAATTGCGAGTTCTTAGAAGTTGACAAATTAGTTGTCAACTTCTATTTAAAAATGAGACTTGAAGCAACCTACCCAGCTGCACACCTTCTTGACACTTCTTCCTGCACTTCCTGCCCTTTTGGTACCACAGTTCTGTACAGCCAATTCCTTACCTCTGTGGTCTACTGATCATACAGATGGGTTTTCTTTATATCCCTCTCATCTGCTGTCTTTGTTGTTGTTTAGGAAAATTCTTTCAACTTTCTTTTTCTCTTTCATTGTGATTTTAATTGCCTTTTGTTTTTGGATACTGAGATTCTTCATTATTGAGGCGCCCCGAGTTTTTATTTGCTTTGGCGTAGGAGAAGGGCTGATGGTGTTTTAAAAGTCCAACCTCCCACCTTTTACTTTCTTTGCGTCTTCCACTGTGTTCTGATTATATGATGGTCGACATGAAATTTATACGAAACAGAGGCACAGGTAAGTGTGTTGAGTGGACGTTAAAGTGGCCGCTCTGCTTCCCTGAGCATCAGACGTCTTACTGACTTATTTTTGGGTGTGTTTATATTTTTTGACACTGGAGCATTTATTTCTTCAAGCTGCGTCACTGTGTTTGTGGCCATCTTGTTGCCGTTGTTGGGAACAGGCAGAATGAGTCAAGAGCAGAAGCACCAAGTGTGCTACGATGTAAAAGAGGAGTCAGAATGCTGAGAGTGGTCAGCTCCCCACTGGCCTCCTCTGCCTGGAGGCTGCCAGTCGCAGGGATTCTGATGTCTTCTCCTTCCCAAAATTGACAGCATCGTCAAAAGTGTCAGCTGCATTTAAATGTGCACACACTGCATGGGCAGGTATGTTCTCATCAAGGGAACACAGGCAGGTAGAGAGCATTCAGAGTGACCACGTGCTCTTCACGAGGCTCACGACGGGAAGAACCTTCCATAGAGTAGCTCCTGCTCCTGACATTCGAAGCCCTGTTTCTCCTCCTCTGCTGAGTATTCCAGGGGCCGATTCCCCGGGCACAGTCACACAGCTGCAGATCCTCTGACCCTGAGAAGTATTTCTGGAACACAATTCTATACCTGGAAGAGTAGCAGTAACCCAGCCCCACACCCGGCCGGCTGTGAATCACAGTACCTGTCCCACTGACCCAAATTACTGTGTTTCCAGCTCAACTTTGCCTTAGCTGGGCCCAGGGTCTTCTGGAGAATCCAGCACTGCAGAACATGAAGGCAAATGTGATACAGAAAGACAGCAACACAAATGCATTGTGACGAAAGCATCTTTCTTTTTTTTTTATTTTGTCCAAATATTTTCTTTTTTTTTTAATTACATTTTATGTTTTGGGGTACATGTGAAGAACATGCAAGATAGTTGCATAGGTACACACGTGGCAGCATGATTTGCTGCCTTCCTCCCCATCACCTATATCTGGCATTTCTCCCCATGCTATCTCGCCCCAACTCCCCAGCCCCCACTGTCTCTCCCCTATTCCCCGCAACAGACCCTAGTGTGTAGTGCTCCCCTCTCTGTGTCCATGTGTTCTCATTGTTCAACACATGCCTATGAGTGAGAATATGCGGTATTTCATTTTCTGTTCTTGTGTCAGTTTGCTGAGAATGATGGTTTTCAGATTCATCCATGTCCCTACAAAGGACACGAACTCATCGTTTTTGATGGCTGCATAATGTTCCATGGTGTGTATGTGCCACATTTTCCCTGTCCAATCTATCATCAATGGGCATTTGGGTTGGTTCCAGGTCTTTGCTATTGTAAACTGTGCTGCAATGAGCATTCGTGTGCATGTGTCCTTATAGTAGAATGATTTATGATCCTTTGGATATATACCCAGTAATGGGATTGCTGAGTCAAATGGAATTTCTATTTCTAGGTCCTTGAGGAATTGCCACACTGTCTTCCACAATGGTTGAACTAATTTACACTCTTTCTTTTGCAAATGTAATGAAAATACAATTGTGTCAAAACATGGCTGGGGCTTCTTTGCTATTCCCACTCTGGGCAAAGGCCAATTTAACCCCAATCTCCCCCTCCTGCAGCCCACCGCATACCCCTCCTGTGCTGTCTCTGTCACTTCCCTCCTCCGGCTCTTCATTTTCGCACTAAGAAGAATGTGCCACGAGGTATCTGGGAAGGGAAGAGGATCCACAAAACTGCACCAGGAGAAGCACAGAGGGGCAGTGCTCCCGAGACTGAAGTTTGCACACACATCAATTCAGGGTTCACAGAATTTCAGTAAGATATCTGTTTGGAAACTTTAGAGAATGATTCCAACATACACGCTAATGAAAAACAAGCAGCAATAACAAAACCAAAGTTTCCAAAAAATAGAGACGGTAGGTGAAATAGTTGGGATATTAATCCCACCAACATCTCTAATGAAAAACAAAGATAAGTAAGACTGATCTGCACTCAACAACTATTAACTCAGTTAAAATTATATTCAAGGAACAGAATAAACAAAACTAAATCACATCGCAGAATACATAAAAATAGGCTCTGCAGTCTAAAGGAAAGAAATGCATGCCCAAGAAGATGTGGAAAAATTCAGCAAGGGACTGTCCCACAAACCCACCGGTGTGCCGGCAGCAGAGCCAACCGTGCGCCTCCCTCCCTGCCCCACCCCGCCACCAGGGACAGCTTGGGAATTGGCCACCTGGGAGTATTTACACCACAGAAAGCAGCAAATGTTACACATCAAGGTTGTGTGATTTTATCCCCCCAGAGAGACAGTTATTAAACAATTACTATCACACTACTGGCTGAAATACACAAAAACAAATTTCAGAATAACAGAAATGTGTGAACAGTAAGAATTTTAATGAGCTAGAAAGACATAAATGGGTGTTTAACCAAGCTCTGTATGAAAGCAATGGAAGGGAACTTAGAGGGTCCACTGATTTCTCACACCTGGGAGTTAATAATGCATGGACATAAAATGTGAAACACAAAATTGAAAACACATGACACATTGAGAAAACATTATCTATAATAATAGGTGGCTAATATTTATATCGACAAGTAATATACAACATCCTACTAGAAAACGAACAAAGAAAAGGGAAACCTGAAGAAATAAAAAATAAACAACGAAAAACAAAAAATATTCCATCTCAGTAACAGTAAAGGAAATGAAAGTGAAACGCTGATGTCATATAATTTCTGGAATCCAATGGAAGCTACTCTGAAATGCTCCTACTCAATGCTGGCATGAGTAAAACTACACTGCTGCTTGCAGAGGGCTGGCAGGGAATCCCACAGCTGAGCCACTTGGCAATATGAGTCAAGTCTCGGTAGGTGTCTTCGTCTTTCTTCCAGGAGTTAGGAATCTACATGAAGGGAGAAACACTAGCTGCACAAATGCATATGTAGAAGATATTCACTACAGCATTACTTATAACAGCCATTAAGGCAACACGATTTAAATGCCAAACAATGGAAATGCACTTAAATAGGCCAGCACAGTGGCTCATGCCTGTAATCCCAGCACTTTGGGAGGTCTAGCCTTAGGTGATCTACCCAAGGTCAGAAGTTCGAGACCAGCCTGGCCAACATGGAGAAACCCCATCTCTGCTGAAAATGCAAACATTAACCAGGTGTGGTGGTGAGCGCCTGTAATCCCAGCTACTCAAGAGGCTGAGACAGGAGGATTGCTTGAACCTGGGAGGCGAAGGTTTCGGTGAGCCAAGATCGAGCCACTGTGCTCCAGCCTGGGCAATAAGAGCAACACCCGGTCTCAAAAAAATAAAAAAGAAATACAAAAAAGAAATACACTTAAATAAATTATGGGGCTTGCATGGCTGAAATACTATATTGCTACAAATGTTGCTTTTCAACTTATATTAATGTATAGGAGAAATTTTGTGATGTAATTTAAGTTTTAATAAAACACAATAATATATGTGTCTTTAGCCACATTACAAAGACATACACAAAAGGGACACAGAAGAAGAGATCATATCAAAATTATGATATTTAACAATGCTGAGCACCTCTGGATCAGAGACTCAAGGTGCTGTGCCTTTTCTTCATAAAATCACGTTATTGCTTGTCAGTAAAGTAAAAAACCAACGTGAGAATCTGACAGTGGTTCTAGCCCACTGCTGTCTAACAGAAAGCAATGCAAGACACATAGGCAATTTTAGGTTTTCTTTACTTTCTTTTTTTTTTTTATTTGAAACAGAGTCTTGCTCTGTTGCCCAGGCTGGAGTGCACTGGCACGATCTCAGCTCACTGTAACCTCCACCTCCCCAGTTCAAGTGAGTCTCCTGCCTCAGCCTCCTGAGTAGCCGGGATCATAGGCATGCATCACCACACTTGGCTAATTTTTGCATTTTTAGTAGAGATGGGGTTTCACTGTGTTGGCCAGGCTGGTCTCGAACTCCTGACCTCAGGTGATCTGCCCATCTCGGCCTCTCAAGCTGCTGGGATTACAAGTGTGAGCCACTGTGCCCAGCCCCTGTAGTTTTAGATTTTCTAAGAGACACAGAAACAGAAAAAGGAACCAGGTGAGATCAATTTTAATAACATATTTTATTAATTCAGTAGGTCTAAATATGATTTCAAATGTGATGTTTTCAAATTATGAAGAAGACGTCTTGCATTCTTTCTTACTCTCATAGCAAATCTCTTACTTTCTACACACAGTGCACTTCATTCACACCAGCCACATTGCAAGGGCTCCGTAGACGCATGTGACCAGCGGCTGCCATAGTGGACAGCGCCGCTCTAGGGCCGCCCCCAGAATACACACACAGCACATCCTACCTCAGAAGATCAACAGCTGGGACTGCAGACCAACAATCCATGTGACAACAGTTTCCCAGTGTCTCTCAATCACAGACCATCCTGGATAGTCAATAACAGCTTGGTAACCTAGCGTTTAGGTGCTGAAAGTCACTGAGGATAAGCATGGCCAACGTTTGTTTATCCACACCCTTTTTGCACACTCTGACTGCTAAATGTTTAGAAATAAAACCTCTTCTTTTTCTAGAACTTTTGCACAAGGCCTAACAATAGAAGTGAATTACTCACTTTCAGACGTTCACACACTGATTGGACTCTCAAGGGTTAATCTGCATGGTGTTTCGGAAATGTTTATCAACTACTTTTCCAGTTTTGAAAGATATTTGCAATCTGGCCATTTCCTCACTCCTACAATTACCAAAGTTGCATGTAAGTTAATATTGATTTGATTTATCTTGTGATTAGGTTCATGAAAGTTGTTCTTTTTTTAATTCAATTAAGGTTAATTCTGATACTCTCTTGGAGATCTTTGCATAAGGGCTTCTGATATTACTAATTAATTCCATTTTAACTTACACCATATCCCTTATACTTGGCCATATCCTCTTTGCTTTGCAGAAAAAAAAAAAAAAAAACACTGAACCCCTGAGTTTTGACTCACCTTGATCAGCTGTGCAGAACCCAAGGGTACATTTTTGAGTATTGGTTCTACTGATGACTTCATGTTACCTTTATCTTATGTTGATCGTAACCTCTGTCCTTATTTTATATGCTGTGTATTTCACTTCAGAAATGCTTTCTGGAATGAGTCAGCTTTTAATTAATCAATGGATTCCATTTTAGTATCATCCAAAAGTGAAATTTTGAACACCTATTAAGAATGCTGAACTATAATACAGTTCATAAGCTTCATTTCTGGGATGTGGCTGACTTACCCATTAGTCATGCAGATTTAAAGTAATGGGTAAAAGGCAACCTACAGCATAGAAGATATTTGCAAACCATATATTCAGTAAGGAATCAGAGAACCTGAATAGACATTTTTCTAAAGAATACATTCAACTACCCAACAAGCATGCAGAAATGTGCTCAACATCGTTACCAGGAAAACACAAGTCAAAACCACAGTGAGATGTCACTTCACACCTGTTAACATGGATTTTTTTTTTTTAAAAAAAGAGAGAGATAACCAATGTTGACGAGGCTGGAGAACAAATGAGTCTTATACACAGTTGGTGGGAATGTAAATTGTACATTCATAACGGAGAACAGGAAGGAGGTTCCTCAAAAAACTAAAACTAGAGCTGCCATATGATTCAGCAATCCTGTCTCTGAGTGTGCATCCAGGGCTTTGAAGCCCGTGTATTGAAGAGCTCTCTGTGCTCCCCTGTCCACTGCAGCTCATACCCAACAGCCAGGATAAGGAAGCAACCTAAGTGTCCATCGACAGATGAGTGGATAAAGAAAATGTGGTCCATATAAACAATGGGGTACTATTCAGCTTTAGGAAAGGAAGGAAGGCTGTCGTTTGTGACATCGTGGTTGAACCTGTAAGACAGTAGGCTACGTGAAATGAGCCAGACACAGAGAAACAGATGCTACATGGTCTCACTTAGATGTGGAATCCAAAAAAGGCAAACTCATAGGAGCAGAGAGTAGAGGGGTGGTGAGCAGGGGCCAGGGGATGGGGGAATGGGGGGCTGTTGGTCAAAGGGCACAAGCTAGCAGTTATAAGATGAAAAATTCTGGAGGTCTAACGTACAGCATAGTGACTGACATTAAAAATAATGTATTGAGACTGGGTACAGTGGCTTATTCTGTAATTCCAGCACTTTGGGAGCCTGATGCGGGCAGATCACTTGAGGTCAGGAGTTTGAGACCAGCCTGGTCAATGTGGTGAAACTCTGTCTCTAGTAAAAAGAAAAAATTAGTTGGGCATGGTGGCGTGAGCCTATAATCCCAGCTACTCAGTAGGCTGAGGCAGGAAAATTGCTTGGGCACAGTGAGCAGAGAGCATACCACTGCACAGTAGGTGACAGAGTGAGACTCTGACTCAAAATAATAATAAAAGCATAATAGCAATGTATTGAATACTCGAAATTTGCTCAGAAGGTAGGTCTTAAGTATTCTCAACACACGAAAAAACTTAATTATGTGAAGTAATGAATATGTTCATTACTTGATTATGTAATCATTTCACAATGTGTACATATATCAAAACATTGCATGGTATACCTTGAATATATACAATTTTTTCAATTATACCTCAATAAAGCTGAAAAATAAACTACTCCATTAAAAGAAATAATAAAACAACAGGATACAGATCCTTAAAATTATTGGACAGAATGAAGGCAGTTGGCCAGCAGGCTATTTATACATATTCCTTGCCTAGAAGGGTTTCTCAATTCTTCCTAGACCTCTCCCTAGCTAAAGGTACATTGCACTGTTTTCTACATTGCAACTGTTTGCTGGTTTCAAAACAACCTCCCCTATCCACACACCTACTCTCTTCCTCTGAGTTCTCCCAGCTGGATGTCTCTGGTCCGTGGAAATCCTCCTACCTCACCGTAAAGGACCTCACTGGTATTGATTTAAACCTGTTTTCTTTTTTCTTAACTCACGTCTCTTTGAACAAGCAATAGGAGAATAATTCCCTGAAAGCTGTCATGAGAATGCTCCCTATGAAGTAGCTCTCAAAGTTGGGGTCATTTACTAAATGTGACGGATTTAGAATGATGCGGTTTGCCTGACCATGGTACACAATCCAAGTGGCATATTCAGGGGAAAAATATAAAATAGAGTGACAGCTTCAACTGGTAGTTACAACCTCCTGCTACAGAGTTTCGTCTAAATATAGAACATAGTTCACTCCACAGAGACGGAGCTCCCGCAGCGCCTGGGAGTGGGGAAGAATTCTCCATGGTGATGTTTAGCTGGATGATAGTACATTTAACACCTCAGGTGTATCAAATGATGTGACGGAAGCTATGATGAATGTGAATTTCCTTCACTCTTCTAAGTTAACAGGAGGTTTATTCAACAATATTCAGCAGTTACTGAGCACTTGTATGCACTAATCATTAAGAACAGAAGGAAGGAAGTGATGGGCTCTGTCCAGGGCAGCGAGGCTTTCTAGCCTCAGCCCGACTGACATTTTGGAGTGTTTAATCCTTTGTCCTGGGGGCTGCCCTGCACATGGGAGGACGTTTAGCAGTGCTGTTGGCCTCTGTGCACTAAATGCCCATGGCACCACTCCATAACAAGCACAAATGTCTCCAGCCTTTCTCAGTGTCCCTGGGAGAAAAATCACCCCCAGTAGAGAATCGCTGGTCTGGTGGAGGAGTCAGACACGAAACAGGGAGTTCCTGGGCCATAGTGTTGGGATGGGGGTGAGAGCCGTGGGGGCCCATGGAAGGAGTGCCTGACCTATGGGGAGGCCACATGAGGCAGGAAGGCTCTCCTGGCTGGAGGGGCTGAAGGTCTGGAAGGTGACAGCTGGTTCAAGAGGCCAGTGGGGTGCAAGTCAGTGGGGGGCATCAGAGGCCCAGAGGGCGGGAGTCCTCGGTGAACAGTGCTGGAATGAGACGGGCAAAGGACAGCTGGAAACTGTAGGCCTCACTATGATGAGAAATGACAAGGAACGATGACTCTGAGCCCTGGATCAGGAGGAAGACAAGGCAGACTCCTCTCTCCAGGCTCTGTCAGGCTCCCAGCTTGGCGCAGGCGCATGTGAGCACTCACACTAGCAAGGGCCTCTGCTGCGGAGGCCTTCAACTAGTATTGGCTCAATCTTTGAAGAAGCCTCAGGGTCTACAGCCCCAAGATGACTGTTCTAACCCCACCTCCTGCTGTCGTTTAAAGCATTAAGAAAGATGACACTCACGCAGCCGGGCGCCTGATCGTAACTGACACAACTAGCAGTCACTCAATGACAGGAACTTCCCTTTGCTTGTTTGAAAGGTAGAGTAAGCACCATTCGACCTTCGTGGTCAGGAGTTTTATTTTCTTCTACGCCACCTCCTTAAAAATAAGCAAACAAACAAGAACGTAAAAGTTTTGAGAGGCTAACGCTGGCATTAAGGTGAAAGTGAAGACCTAATCCCCCCATTTCCGTGTCCCAGGCAGGACAAGTGAGTGCAAGTTCTGAAAGGGCCCACAGTCACGGCACTGTCCCCAATGTACAAAGAGCAGGTGCAGTCCCTGCCAGCCAGGCTTTCAGGATCTTGCGGGCAACAGGAACAGAGAGGAGGTAGAGAAGCAGAGCCCGGGTGGAGGAGTATTTATCCAGGTGCTGTTCCCTAAATTGTTTGTGAGAATAATGGGCGCTGCTCCCAGGTTCAACCTGCCTTTGTAGGCATCCGTTAGAAAGATGTACAAGGAAATTGCCCTCTGCAAAAGTGACCACAGAACCGGAGAGATACAGGCTTGGGGTATCGTCGGAAGCCGGCTCCACCTTCAGCACAATTGCTCCTGGCGCCTGGTTCTTCCTGTGACAACACCTATGATCCTCGCCAAACATGATTCATCATCAACATCTGTTCCAGACAGACATGAACGTCCCTGACATCACTCAGAGCCTATTCTACTTCCAAGGAGAAAGCAGCTCCAGGATAGTGTCAGTTACCGCGCTACGAGACACACTCGGTGCTCTATTTTTGCTTGGGGTGAAATAGATCCCAATGCCAGTCACAGATAATTATAGTCTGGAATATTACATGAAAATTGAAATGTGTAAAATGTCTCTCTCATTTCAAATAAATGTCAAAAGCCACACATATATTTCGGTGATGAGACTTTGGGATCAAATGGAAGCAGACTATTTCTCTCTCTCTGCCCCAAACGCAGCCCTGCCTCTCCCTGGGTTCCACAGTGCTGCATCTGCAAGGTCAGATGTTTGAACGTTCCCGAGGCTTGGCTCCTGCGCAGCCATACGTGGGCAGAGGAGGGCACAGCATGGAGAATCCCACTTATTCACTGGCAGCGCTCACACTTGACAAAAACAGAAAGTTCAAATTCAGGACATGGGCAGCTATAATAGCTTCAAGAAAAACTGTTTTTCAACCAAAGAGAAACCATTTCTTCTTTAATCTGTGGGAGGGGATCAATACAGTCCATCATCGCAAGCCTGGAAAATCACACTCTCGCATTTTCTGGGTGTCCCGAAGGTTGGAGGAAAAGCGTCTGCTGAGCACAGCCTCACTCCCGTGATAAGTGTCCCTACATAGCTACCTCTTGTTCCCAGGGCAAGGCTCTCAGACAGAGGGTGGTCCCTCTCCCGTAGACACTGAGACCCTCCCAGAAACTCCTTATTCTCACAGCTGCAAATTACAATGTGAGTTTTTTGGAGGAGGAGAAGTTATGGCTGGCTTCGAGGGGCTGCCCAGCTTTGGCGTGGCTGTGGGCTGTGGGTGGGTGACTGGCTGGGCCTGTGTCCGCATCCAAGGGAAGGGGCTTGAGCTGAATGTCCTTCCCGTCTCAGGTGCCCGATGCCAGGGAGTCTATGCTGCTGGTCACTTTCATCCTCAGGGGACTCCTAGTCGCTAGAGAAAGCCCGATGCAAAGAGGGAGGAAGGACCGAGTCTGCTGTGAGGACCTTGCTGCACCGAGGGAAGTGATGCTTGGCGGGGGTGGTGGTGGGGGAGACAGGCTTGTTTCCAGGGTCTTCCACTCTGCAGTTCACCTGGGGGGCCCCTGGCTCCTCCTTACACACACACACACACACACACACACACACACACACAGTGTGAAGGAAGGGCTCTCAGGAGAGGAGAAGGGGCAGGGGAGTGCAGACTCCTGGGGAGACATTCACACCTCCTTTCATCTAGCACCCCTCTCAAAAAAAAAAAAAAAATTGTTGCATCTCCTGGCACTACCTTTCGGATTAGGTGTATTGCTGACCTCTCTTCGTCTGAGGGAGGGGAGGGTCCTTAGGAACTGGATCAATAAGGGATGCTGGCATGAGTGTACGCTGGCCCCGAGGCTGCTGGTCGCTGTCCTGGATCTCTGTTTTGCCAGGAGAAGCTGCAAGTGGACCCAGAATGAATAGGGAGAAGGCACAGGGAGCAGATGGCGGTTGGACCAGCCCAGCTGCCCAGCGATGGAGAACACAGCTTTGTCATGCGGTCAATGTTTGGGGCTCTGGAGGAATTCCAGCAGGGGCTGCCCATCCAGCGAGCTCTCTGGGAAGCCTGAGTGTGGGGGAGCAAGCAGAATGCTCTAGAGAGTTCTGGTATCCTGATGATCCCTCGGCTTCCTGGTTCAACCAGGTCTTTGCCATGGGCAATGCTGCTTCACACCCAGGCCAGAGGGACATCAAGAGCCCACAGAGACAAGCCCAAGAGGAGACTCTTCCCAGAGGAGACTGGGGAAGGCACAAAAAAACAACCAGAGAGGGCCAGGCACTGTGGCTCAAGCCTATAATCCCAGCACTTTGGGAGGCCGAGGCGGGTGGATCACGAGGTCAACAGATCGAGACCATCCCGGTCAACATGGTGGAACCCCGTCTCTACTAAAAATACAAAAAATTAGCTGAGCATGGTGGCGCATGCCTGTAATCCCAGCTACTCAGGAGGCTAAGGCAGGAGAATTGCCTGAACCCAGGAGGCGGAGGTTGTGGTGAGCCGAGATCGCATCATTGCACTCCAGCCTGGGTAACAAGAGCGAAACTCCATCTCAAAAAACAAACAAAAAAAACTCCGTCTCAAAAAAAAAAAAAAAAAACAACCAGAGAAAGAATGGAATAACCATAGATGCCGAGAAAGGTGCGTTGCAGAGTTCTGTTATTCAAAACAAAAGAAAACAAAACACCGTAACTGGATCTTCCCGCTGGAGCCTGGAATGCAGGGAACAAAGGCAACCTCAGTGCTGTTGTCAACACTGGTCCGGCGGGCGGCAAGGGCCTCTCTGGTTTAGGACGCCGTTGTGAAGAGTAGGAGGGTCTAGCAAAAGACCCCCACAGAGGGCTGGAAGGGTCCACAGAGGCTCATTCCAGCAGTTCGGAACTTCCTTCCGGTAGAAGAGCCAGGTCAAGAATGACATGTGTCATCATAAAATATGCACAGTGCAAGTTGTGATGAGTATGACCGGTTGTCCCATCTTCACAGAAGGATGATCAAAAACAAGAATTTCCACTGCAGCAGAAGAGTTCAGCCAGAGCAGAGACCCTGCACGCAGGCCAATGGGGCCTGGAACGAGGCCCCCAGCGGGCCCTGGCGTGGGGAGGGCATTCACTCTCACCTTCCACCTCGGCTAGGTAGAGAGGAGAAAAAGGGAGAATTTAGGGTTGCTCCGACCCCCAGGGTAGAACACATCTACCCCTCAGTCTTTGATTGCCTTTCCTAACCTCTCTCAAATACTCATGTCTAGTGCAACATGGTGAACCCAAACTAAGTACAATTTAGGTCACAGATGTTTTAATTATTTTTGTTTCAATTCTGTGATTTTAGAAAGACAAGTTTCCAATTATTCCCTGGATTTGTAAACTTAAATTTCCAAAAGCACACATGCAGACATGCATCTTAGTGTTTATTTAAACCCACTTCAAGTTCTGGTTTGACTCACAGGTATCTGTAGCTCACCTGTCTTCGCAACTTCTATTCACTGTCTTCCTAGACAAACCCTACTGATAAAAGCATGCCTCTGGCATTTATCACGTCAACACGTCTTACTTTCTTTCTGTAAACTCCTCCAGATACCATACACGCAGTTTTCATACTTCACGGATAGTATATATTCAGCTGGTAGATATTGCATTGTTGAGAACTGAACGCAAGCCCAGGAATCTCGTCCAGCGAGAGGGTCCCAAACCTGGAAGAGAGCACGCGCCGGAAAAAAAGGAGATAGAAAAGGCGAGGTCTGGAGGGCTACATGCGCTATGCTCATGCAGCAATTTTATTTTTGCAATGTGTTTCATTATATACTTTTCTGAAGTTAAAGTTGTTTACACCAGATTAACGTACTTAAGTTACAGTAAGCAAGTTACACTCAGTAAGTAAGTTAAGCACAGTAAGTAGGCTACACCCAGTAAGTAGGTTACACCCAATAGGTCAAGGTAAGTAGATTACAGTCACGCCCTGTAAGCCATGGTAAGTAAGTTACAGTTACGCCCTGTAAGTTACGGTAAGTAAGTAACACAGGTCCAAAATGAACACAATCAAGCAATAAACCATAAGAAGCCGAAAGTAGACACAATGCCTCCCAAGTCCTCATATCCATAAAGTAGTGTCTGTTAATTATTTTGGATAATATAGAGTTCCTCTCTCGGTTCCTACTTTCCCTCGGCTCGACTCCCCCAACCGGGGATCTGTGTCCGGGCTCAAGCTCACCGTATGGCGAGGCCCATTTCCAAGGGGCCTCACGCGGGAGCGATCTTCACAGATTCCCTCATTGCATGAAAAAATTCGAACTAAAATCATTTTAAACAGTGAAAATCTATGATAACCAAATTGGTTTTAAACCTCAACACAAATGTAACAAGGAAAATGCTTTTCACTGCAATGCCATCGGTTTTAAACTCATCTGAACTTCCTTGAAAATATCAGAAGGATGAGGGTTGCGTTGCCAACTGGAAGTAGGACTGAATAGGTGAAGACATGTGCGATAGATCTGCTCCTCTCTGTTCAAGACTCTGCCACACTCGCTAAACTTTCAAATGATGCAGATATTGCTTGAGGAGGCTTGAATTAACAACCACCAAAGACAAGAGAAGAAACGTGATGCAGATCATTTCAAAATACTTTCTTAGTTTCTCAGTGTCAATGTGGACACATTTTTAGAAGCATCTGCTACAGCAATACGCAGATTTTTTTTTCTCTTTCTGAAATTGGGGTTGATACACTTGAGAAATGTGTCCCCACCAAATCTCATGTTGAAATGTGATCTCCAATTCTGGAGGTGGGGCCTGGTAGGGGTGGTGATTGGATCACAGGGGCGAGTTCCTCAGGAAGGGTTGAGCACCATCCCCTTGGTGCTTTCTTCGGGATAGTAGATGATTTCTAGAAAGATCTGGTTGTTTAAAAGTGTGTGGCAGCCCCTTCTCTCTCTTGCTCCCACTGTTGCTGTGTGGTGGGCCAGCTTCCCCTGTTACTTCCACTTCTGCCATGATTGAAAGCTTCCCGAGCCCTCACCAGAAGCCAAGGAGATGCCTCTGCCATGCTTACACAGCCTGCAGACACATGAGCCAATTAAACCTCTTTTCTTTATCAATTACTCAACATTAGTTAACCTCAGGTATTTCTTTATAGCAATGCAAGGACAGCCGAACACAAGGATCATAAATCTATATTTAAATAAACGTGGTTTAAGTGTCCATAATTACATGGTGCATTAAGTTGTACAATTCCAGAGCTATCAGCCCATTCAACAGAAAGACTTGGAAAAACAGTGTTTTGTCTACAGTCACAGCGAACGTTCGCATTGCTGGAATACCCCAACACTTCGTGAGGCTTTCTTTCATAGCCGGGACTGCCTGCATGAACCCCAGATTAAGTCCTCTGGGGTGCATCCACGGCCACATCAACTGGACCTGCAGCCCATCTCGTATTAATAAATTAGTTGTGTAGAGTTTGACAAGAATGACTGTCAGATCTCCTGCTAAAACCTTCTAATTCAAGAAGAAACCTCTGAGGTCTTTCATGCTGGATCTCAACAGGGTAGAGGAACCTTAATTTCACAGGGGCTGCTGCATGAGATTCCACAGGCCAGGTCAGACAGGGACAAGCGGTGGTGAACTCTGTGAAAAAGACATGCTTATTCCACGGTATTCCTGTCACCTCGCTGCGTAAGATGGGTCACTGGTGAGCAGCTGGGTTTGAACCCTGTCAGTCTGATGCCGGATTCCCCCAACCCTGCTGGCTCCATCACATTCTCCCGGAGTTTCCCCAATTCCTGATGGCTGTGAACTCCAGACTCTGGAGGGTAATGGGACAGAGACTTCTAGTGCCAGCACAGGGAAAGGATTGAGGGAGACAGCTCTGAAGTGTGTCCTTTGAGTTCCTACCACTGGCAACCTGTGCAGCCTTGGGAAGCTACCTGGTGTCTCTGAGCCTCAACTCTCTCATCTGTGAAATAGGATTACAACAGAATCTGCATTGTGTGATTGTTGTGAGGATTAAATCAGACTGAAGCTATGAAGCACTAGAATGACTCCTGTCACATGCTAACCACGCAGTAAACACTGGCTGCTTATATTCCTGCAGTTTTTTCCTCTAAAACATTTCTATTCTTGGGAAGAGAAGACTAATGCATCACCCCGTGAGAGAACAATGTGTGAAATGCTGTGAAGGAAGTTATTTCCTTTCGCAGATCAGAGGCATGGAGGACGGGTGCTGCCGGGATCAGGGAGGACGCATCCATGAATGCACAGACCCTTCTGAGGGTCTGCATGCCTGGAACAGGCTCATGAACATAGGAGCTACCGTGAGCTGGGCCAGTGCCCTGCAGTACGTGGGGACACTGGACCAGGTCTCAAGGGAGGAGAGAAGCACGCATGTTCCCAGCAAGGCAGGTACCAACAGCCAAGTCCCATGAGCTCCTGTGTGACCCGCCTGGGGCTGGTGCTTCTGCAGGAAGAAGCCACTGCAGGAAGCTCAGGGTCTCACCCAGCAAAGAGCTCCTCATTTTCAGAGGGGTGGAAGAGCTGTGAGGTTCCAAAGATGACCTAGATTGGGTCAGGAGACCCTGTGGAACCCTCCCAGTGGGTGAGATGGCAGCATGCCAGAAGAGCAGCCGGAAGAATCACATGGAACGTGAGGCTGGGAGGTGTTCTTCTGTTTCCCAGGAGGCTGTAAGGTCAGGCTGAGATACGACTGAGGATCTGCTTGTAACGTGTGAAGACTGAACAGGCCGTCTACTCTGCCATGTGATTTAAATGAAAGAGGAAAGGCATTTCCCCCTTTAGCTTCCACTGGGGCTGAAACTCTTTCCACTGATTGAGGAGCACAGGAAAGTCCACGTTTCCTGGAGACGTGAGACTCAGAAGTGGAAGAGTCTATCAGGAAAAGGAAACCAAGAACACCTACAGTGGGGTGTCCACACTTTTGGCTTCCCTGGGCCACACTGGAAGAAGAACTGCCTTGGGCCACACATTAAATACATGAACACTAATGACAGCTGATGAGCTAAAAAGAAAATAAAAAAATCTTATAATGTTTTAAGAAAGTTTATAAATTTGTGTCAGGCCGCATGGAAGCCATCCTGGGCCGCGTGTGGCCTGCGGGCCCCGGATTGGACGAGCTTGCTCTGGAGGGTGTCTGAAAGGTCAGAAATGGGAGTTAAGGGAATTAAGGTGCTGGGAGAAGAACTGTGCAGCAGGGAAGCGGAAAAGAACCCCAAAGATGACAAATTCAGGTGGGGAAAAGCCATTCATTCCTGGTGACGCAACAGTCCCTGAGAGGCTTACACCTTTCATTCCACCTAAATAAACACCCTTCATCATCGTCTTCTCCAGCTCCAAGTTCTACATGCAGCTCCCTCCACGTAGTATTTTAATTCTCACAGCTCTGTAAGAGAGCAAAGGCAGGTGGGGCCGTCCCATCTTTCCAGAGGCAGAATCACACTCTGCCCTGGGCGCCCCTCAAGCCCCACACCCAGGACAGGGTAGGTGGGAAAGGCCCCAGGCTTAGTGTCTTCTCTGGGGCCATGACCATCAAGACATCTTGAGAATGAAAGAGGACATTATTTTTAAGAAACAAAAATCACTTTTTAAAACGATTTTCTCCATCAATCTCCAGATCAATTACTTGATTTCTCAGTAGGAATATCACCTTGAAATACACAGATGAATGGAAAAGCACTTGGGTCACACTTGCATCGCAGTCAGATGTATAAACTTCGTACATATCTGTGATGGATCACAAAGGAAGTAATTACATTTGTTTTCTTTGTTAAGAGTCTGAACCAGCACTTATTGTGGGGAATGAACCCAATCCATGCAGAGTACTCAGAACAGTGCTGGGACTGGGACTGTGCTAAGTATCCAAACAACGAGCTCATGAGATTCCCCATACACAGAGCGTTCAAAGTCAAAATGCTGCTTCTTTCTAACTTACACTAAAAGAATTGCTCAAGTTAAAAATGGAGCTGGGACAGGTGTGAGTGTGGCTGTGGATGTTTTCCATAAGCCTTGCTTCAGCTGCATGGAGACCCCGGCAAGTGGCCCACCCCGCCCTGCCCTGACATCTGCACTGAAGCTTCAGGCACTCACTGGTCATCAGGAAGCAGCAAGTCCCACTGTGAGAGCTAAGCGTGCTCATTAACAAACTGACATCAGTTTGGGTTTGCATGTTCAGCTGGGCCATCTTCCCTGTAAACAAGGCCCGGGGTACCTGGAAAGATGCTGAGAGCTGGGACTGTTCTGCTCTGCGGCCGTGTGTCCAGCCTCCTTCCTGCATCCAGCTCCCATTTCCCTTGCTTCCCTGTCTGCCCAGGGCCCAACGAGGCTGCTGTTAGCCTTCTGCAGAGTGAGGATTTAAGCTCCAACCTCTGGACCTTCCTGAAGGACCCTCCAATTCTACCACTGGTCTCCTCCTGGTAGCTGCTTGACGGGGACGAGATCTGACTACCGAACCCAACACTACGCTGACGACTGACATAGTTTTATGTGTAGTTGTTCCCATTTGCGTCTCCCAGGAGGGCGTGAGCGAGAGCAGGGCTCTGTAAAAATGAGATTCTAGACAGGTGAGTAGAAGAACTATTGTAGATTGGAAGGCTTCTCCAAGGTTTCAAATCTATTGCCTGCCCTCTGTGCCAACAGCCAGGCTAGCTAACTACAACTTCTCTAGACCTGCACTAATATAGTAGCCATGACTCACATATAACTATCCAAACTCATATTTATATTAACCAGAATTTAAATAAAATCAAAAATTTATATTTTTCCACCACACAAGCCACATTAGAAGGGATCGAGGTCCACAGGTGACCAGTGGCTACTGCACTCACCCAACTCTCATCTTCAGTCGTAATTCCCATAATCTCCATGTGCCATGGGAAGGACCCAGGAGAGGTAACTGAATCACGTGTGCAGTTTCCCCCTGCTGTTCTCATGAGAGTGAGTGAGTTCTCACAACATCTGATGGTTTTGAAAGTGGGTGGCATTTCTCTGCCGGCACTTATTCTCTCTCCTGCCACCCTGTGAAGAGGTGCCCTCTGCCATGATTGTAAGTTTCCTGAGGCCTCCTCAGCCATGCAGAACTGTGACTCAAAACATTTTTCTTTATAAATCACCCAGTCTTGAGTATTCTTCACAGCAATGTGAGAGTGGACCGATACATCCGCCATCCTAGAAATCCTGCTGGACAGAGTGCCTTACCTCAGGCTGCAATAGCAACGCCCAGCGTCTGGGTGGCTGAGACAACAGACAACTACTTCTCACAGCTCTGGAGACTGCAAGTCCAGAATCAAGGTGACAGCAGATTCGGTCGTTGGTGAGGGCTCCCTTCCTGGCCTGAAGACAGCCACCTTCTCGCTGCGTCCTCGCATGGCTGAGAGAGAGGGAGTTCTGGTTTCTCTTTCCCTCCTTTGTAGAATGTGGGTCCCATGATCCAGCCTCATGACATCATAGAACCCTGATTACTTCCAGAATGCCTCACTTCCTAATATCTTCACATGGTGGGGTCAGGGTTTCAACCTAGGAATCCTGGGGACCCCAACATTCCATCCTGGGAGGGTGTTGCCAGAGGAGACTGACATAGGCAATATTGGCTCTAGAGGATCAATACCCCCAAGTCTATTTAGCACGTGCACATGTGAGACCAGTGCCCATTCGGTTAAGGACCCGTGGGTTCCTCTAGGAGTTGATTCCCACGGAAAGTCACTGTCACGGTGCTGCTGTCTCCATTTGCACGTCCCTGTACCATGGCATAGCCACCTTCTGTGGCCTGAAAAACGCCGATGGCACAGCCACGGGGCCTGGATGGTCCCATGCAGCCTACTGAGGCCGCATACTGAAGGCACGTCGAGGCACCTGTCTCCCTAAGTCAGCCTGTCAACCCCGGGTTGTTTTGTCTGCTGCGAGCTTGGTCAGAGCCCCCAGGGTCTGAAAGGCAAACCACTAGCAAAAGTGCCAGGACAGCTCCGGTTCCAGCCTCATTCTGCCTGGACCCAAGTTCTGCTTCATTACCCCTGAAACGTTTCCTTCACGGAAAGCTGGTGGCAGGTAATAAACAGGCCAGGGGTCCCCTTGCCGGGAGCCTTGACGAGAGAGACAGCCCGGCCGAGGCTCAGTGCTGAGACATTCAGAAAGGAAATGGAGCTGTTGAGAGACTGCCACGCCTCGGTGGCTGACCGGGGACTCGGTCGGCCACACGTCTCCGTCATTTTAACATCTGTCGTGGCCTTCCCTGCCTTTCTCTTTGCTGCGGGTAACTGCACAGTACCAGCCGGGAAGCTTACAGTTGGAGAGTGTTGTGGAGAGTGCCAAACTAGGCCCTGCCCACCCCATAGGTCAGGCATCCTGAGACCCCCATGTCCATTCGTAAACTGAGGCTCAGGTGTGGTAAGGACTTGCCTGGGGTGGCCTCAAATGTCATTTGTGGGCTGGGGGAGCTGGGCCTGCCAGCTAACATCGACGACTCCAATCCCACCCCTGCCTCCACAGCTTGAACAAGAATATTTCTGAGAGCCATGGCCGGTTTCCAGGCTCCAAAGGAGGGGCAGCTAATGGAGTGCCTGCATCACCTGCCTTTTTCCCTAAGCTCATGTTGAATGAAACAAGAAGAGCATCATGATAGAAAAGAAATGTTCATAAATTCTTGGTAAACAAGAAGCATGAGCAGCCAGCCTGAAAAAAACAGAGAGAACAGAGGAAACCACAGAACAAGGACTCGGGGGGTGAAGGGAGTCTCCGGGAGATCCAGACACAGAAAGAGGAAAGAATATGAAGAGCAGGGTGAGGGCCGGGGCAGCTGAGAGCCTCCGTGCGGGACCCACACACAGAGCAGCTTGGTGGCACCGCTGTCACCTAGTTGGAAGCAGCTTGGTTTTTCTGAGGCTGCTCAAGGGCCAGCTCCCGCAGGGAAGATGAGGTCTGCCCTGGGTGGGGGGAATCCTGGGAGGGACAATTGGAGCAGAGCTGGCAAGGCTCAAGGCCACCGCAGGAAGGGAGGGGCGGCGGCCCACCTGGGAATGAAGTCTCCTGCTTGCTTTCAGAGAAGGCAAATTCACCGCTTCTATCCAACTGGAGGTGACTTTGCAGTGGACCTGACAACTGCGAAAGATGCCCCAAGCATCTCCCTAGGTTGAAAAAGATCATCCCTCCTGTGAAGGTGAATATTAGGTGTTCATTTGATGGGATTGAAGAACGCCTACACAGCTGGTAAAGGATGTTTCGGGGTGTGCCTGGGAGGGTGTTGCCAGAGGAGACTGACATCTGAGTGGGTGGACTGGTAGAGGATGACCCACCCTCAGTGTGGGTGGGTCCCCATCCAGTGTGGCCTGAATGAAGCAGGTGGAAGAAGGTGGGAGACGCCGGCTTGCTGGGCCTTCCGGCTTTGTCTTTCTCCCATGCTGGATGCTTCCTTCCCTGCCTCTTGCCCTTGGACATCAGACTACAGATTCTTTGGCCTTTGGACTTGGACTTATGCCGGTGGTTTGCCAGTGGCTCTCGGACCTTGAGCCACAGACAGAAGGCTGTGCTGTTGGCTTTCCTGCTTCTGAGGCTTCGGGACGTGGACTGAACCACGGCTAACGGTGGGACTTTGCCTTGTGTTTGTGTGAGCCCAGCTCCCTACGACACTCCCTGTCATATATACTTATCCTATTAGTTCTGTCCCTCTGGAGACACCCTCACTCACAGTTCTGAGCCCCAAACCAAGGTCACCAGGCATTTGGTGAAAGCAAGAGAGTGAGAAATGAGCAGGATGAGCATAGAAAGCAGAGAGGACGCAGAACGAAAAAGAGCTTTACAAAGCTCCACCCTCCTTCCCACAGAAAGCAGAGAAGATGTGGCACCCACGAAACATACAGAACCCACGAAACAGCAGCTTCCCATCGAAAACCAGGCAGAAAATAAAAGGTGTTCTTTCATCTTAAAACACCGGCCAAAAGGGATTCTTCTGTGGATAAGCTGAATAATTGGGTGTAGCAGATGAGTGGGACCGTCTCCCAGAACGCTGTGGAAAGACGAAAAACAGCAAAGTGGAAAATGTGAAAGAAAATTTAAGAGACAAGGAGAACAGAACAAGGAGGCTGCCGTCCATCTACTGGACATTCTGCAAGAAGGCCCCAGAACACTGGGGCAGGCAGCAGGCTTCTGAAGAGCTTCAGGACTGGAGGGAAGTCCCACGCTTGGCAAAGAGGGGCCATCAAGAGCTGAGCAGGGTTAATTTTTCAAAGCTCCATATCCAGATTAATCCCTTAACAGAGGAAAAACTCTAGGAATAAAAATAACGCCCCCAAAACTTCCAGCAAGACGAAGCAACATGAATAGAGATGGCTAACATCAGACTCCATACCAGCAATGCTGAAATGAATGACGGATGTCAATAGCTAAGCATCCTGAAGATTTTTGAACCTGAAATTCTTTACCTAAAAAATTCCTTAATAGCCAAACCCTTAATCAAAGGTAAGGAATAGGCTGGATGAGGTGGCTCATGCCTGTAACCCCAGCGCTCTGGGAGGCCGAGGCGGGCAGAGCACCTGAGGTCAGGAAGGAGTCTGAGGTCCCTTCTGTGATGGTTGACCATCCTGGCCCACAAGGCAAAACCCTGTCTCTACTAAAAGTACAAAAATTGGTTGGGTGTGTGATGTGCATCTGTAATCCCAGCGACTTGGAAGGCTGAGGCAGGAGAATCGCTTGAACCCGGGAGGTTGCGGTGAGCCAAGTTTGAGTCTCTGTGCTCCAGCCTGGGTGACTGAGCCAGACTCTGTCTCAAAACAAACAAACAAAAAACAAAAGTAAGTAATAAATGCAGACATTTTCAAAATTCAGAAAATCCACTCTCATGAAAAAAAGAATCAGTAGGGGAGAGTTATTTCAGCAAAAGGAGAAGAGACCATGGGGAGCAAAGGGATTGGAGGCACATACGCCCTGGAGTGTGACTTAAAGCAGGACTAGGTAGAAATATCTTAAAGGGTCATTAGATCTCAAGATAATGCATAGAAAAGTGTCCAGAATGAGTGACCTCATGTTCACAATCCTGGATGCTTTCTCTTATTATTATTATTATACTTGAAGTTCTGAGAAACATGTGCAGAATGCGCAGGTTTGTTATGCAGGTGTACGCGTGCCGTGGTGGTTTGTTGTACCCATCGACCCGTCATCTGCATCAGGTGGGAATGCTTTCTATTGCCTTTGATGACTGAAGACATCTTGTAGTCAAACGCATATGGCTACAGAAAGTAAGGTAAATGCGGTAGGATGTGATGAAGGCACAATCCTCATACAACGACCAGGCAGAAGCGAAGCCGCGGGGCACGTGGGAGGAAGGGCTGCTCTTCCTTCTTCCCTTCTGGAGGCTGGGAGTCCATTCTTGCTGCCAAAGTTGGTAAATCAAGGAATGGATGTTTAGGTTTAATGCAATCATGAAAACAAGTCAAACAGTTACAAACGATAATACAATGGATGGGAGTTGGGATGTGCTGGTGGCAAAGCGAAGTGGGAGGCGGTGACAGTGACTCTGAAGGTTGATGCTGTGCTTGTGCCCACTGGCACTGTTCTGCCCTATGCATCTTCACACTTATTCTCGCAATAACCCTGTGGCGCAGGTGCTGCAGACGTGGAAACTGAGGCACCACCACATTTACTAACTTGTCCAAAAAGCAAGCAGCTAGTCACTTAGCTGCATTCATCTTGCACAGTGCAGATTCCACAGACACTGTTTACAGTTGATCAGGCTGTTGATGCCAAAACGCCCCAAGGACCTCTCTCACTAAGAACGTCACTGAGCTCCATCCAGGGTGCTGCTCCCAGAGTCAGTCATTGCAGCCCATCAGCCTAGCTGGTCACAGCTGGTGGCCCCTCCACACAATTCGCTGGCCACTGCTGCCAGCCTCCTCACTCCTCTTCCCTTCCTGCCATGGAGTGGCCCAGGACCAGCTGTCTGCATTCACCCTTCGGTGAGACCAGTGGCCTCATATGGACTTTAATGCCATTTTCCAGCCACAGTCACTATGTCGGACCTCTGCTCTCATCCTTTTCAAAGCCCCACATACGTATGTCCAGTTGCCCACAAGCCCTCACAGAGCATTCAGGCTCAACCCCTCCAAAGCCCCACTCATGTTCTGACCCTCAGCAGCCTTGCTCTGCACACTGCGCACCATGCCTCAGGTGATGGCAGCTCCTTCTCTCCCAGTGGTCATTTCATGGGGTACCCTGCTGGATCTACCTTTGAAACACACTCCAAGTCAAACTTGCCTTCTCTGCAGTGAGCTCCCTGGCATTAGCCTTCGTCCCTAGCACGGGTTGACCTCCCTGAGTTGTCCCTGTCTCTGCTTCCTACACAGACTGCTTCATGTGGTCTCTTCTCAAACCAACGGTCCCTTAAGAGCCCAGGTGGCTCTTCTGACCTCAGTCACCCCGTTCCCTCCTCGCTCCCATGTCCACCGCTCACTCTGCACGAAAGCCGCAGGCTCGCAAGGATGCAGCTGAGCTGAGTCTCCCTCGCTGGCCCTCTGACCTTCCTCCTGATTCTCCCTCCTCAGCAACTGTGCCAGCTCCCTCACTGTCCCTCTGCATGCCTGGCCATGGGGTGTTGGTGGTTCCCTTTCCCCAGAGCTTGGTTTCACTTCCTGAAAACTGTGGCTCAAATGTCCTCTTCTCGATGAGGCCTCTGCTGCTCACCCTACTTTATACTGCAGCAACCACCTGACCACGTGCTACTTCCCTTTCTACCCACAGCACTTACCACCTCCCAAGAAGCCAAATAATTGGCTCATTTTTAAGATGCATTGGTTTATTATCCATCCCATCCCCCTCCCTAGTAGAATGTCAGCTCCAGAAGAGCATGAACCCTTGCCCGTTGGACCCTGAGTTACCAGAACACCACCTGGCATACACTAGGCATCCAATAAATGTTCCTGATGGGTGAATGAGCTCTCCCTGTTCTCCATGACTCCCATGGCCCATCCTAGGCCAACTCTTGTGGCCAGTGGGGTAGAGTTCTCTTATTGTCCAGAGCTGGGACTCCAGGTTGCGGTCAGTGTGACCCAAACCATGTGGGATGAGGGTGAGGATGGAATGGCCCCACTCAGATGGGCCACTACACATCCCTCGGGGGAGAGAGGAGCTTGAATAAGCTGAAAGTAGGAAAGTCCATGGGAATGGGTGAAATTAGTAACAAAACAGACTCCTGAAGCGTGAGTACCCGTGGGGTGTTCTCACATGCACGCATGTTCTCACACCCAGAGCAGCTGTCTGAAGGGCGCATTCAGAGCTGCCAACAGAAGCCCTCTCTGGGATACAGGCTTAGGAATCCTTGTTTTCCCTCTGAAATCTTTGGCTATTTTTATAGTAAGCATGAATTATACCTAAAATAACTTGTTTAAAGGGTGTTCTGGGAAGGTGGGCTGAAGCTAGATGATTTGAACCCAAATCACTCCTTTCCCTCCTTTAAAGATTGATGGGGAGATGTGAGGAAGCTTGGCTCACGTACAGGTTACCCCTGCTCTATTCAGATTAAATTGAGACATGGACTAAAATCTCTGAAACGCCCATAGAGGTATCTCCAGCCCAACCATCTGGAATTGATCTTTCAGCAGTGGCCGCATGCACCACCAAGGACCCTGGAACTCTCGGGGATTTGAACGAGGCTGGACGCAGGAGACAGTGACTGCAGTGTGCCTGGAACTCACCCCCAGGGTCTTCCTGGCTTCCTGACATAAACAGGCTTCAGGCAGCCACTTACAGCAACTGCAAATGCCTAGCTCACTTCTTCCATTCAGAAAGAAATCATATTTGCTAATCTTCTCCATAAACATGTATTACAATCTTGGGATTTTGTCAAACCGTGTACACAAAGTAATTACAGGAAGAATAGTGCACTATTTGCATATCTAGTATTTAAAGGGTTACTTATGTAATTATTGAATGTAACTTAGAATAAGCTGTTTGATTCCCTTTCATCGTGAGCCAAACATTGGGTTTTGAAAGGAATTCCTTTAAACTTCAATAATGTAAAGGCACATGCTAATGTTAAGTTACAACTCTAGCTTAGGTGAGTCAGACATGAAAGTATTTAGGGCTGGTATTCTGTGAGCAAGTTAACTTTAGACAGTTTAAAAAAGAAGTCGTCAAGTATCTGTTGCTCGTGGTAGACACAGGATATTAGGAGCAATTAGAAGTTCTTGTCCTCACTTTCAGACGGCGTCCAGTCCTCCCTGGCTTTTGTTGGTTTAAGCTTCCAGCATAACAAACCTCGCTGTGCCGTCAGCACCTGAAACCAGCAAAAGCAATGCCTTTATCAACTCCCGCCAGACATTCACCTTTTGAAACTCACACAGAGGGGGAGGGCGCGGGGAGAGGAGAAAGAAAAATGAAGAAGGCAGCGAGAAACTTAACCCAGTGGCTGGAAGGCATCAGACAAGAGAGAGAAAGGAATCGAATGTTGTGTATTTTCCCGATGAAAACGCCGATCGGTCTCAGCGTTGTTCAAACTGGAGGCCAGGTGGTCAGCGTTCGCTCTGCCACAAGAGTTTTTCCATAACAAGGCAGCTATAAGCCCAAGGATCCTCAGGGGCTGAAAGGCACCTGGGACGCTCCATGAAAAGGACCCTCTTAGGACTGCTCAGCACATTCACCTCGCTCGACCTGGCAGGAAGGAGCGGGCCCAGCTGGGAAGTTGTGTCCACTCTCTAGTCCATGACACCAAGGAGCTGGTGTGGGCTGAGGCTGCAGTTCTCACACACACACGCACACATACACACAGACACACACACACACACACACACACACACACACTGCTCTACTTAGGGTTTTCAACGAGAACTTAAATCTAAGCGCTGGAGAGAAGGAGCAAGGTTGAAAGGGGTTGGATCTGAACTTCGATGTCAGCAACGCAGCTCTTTTGGACAGCAGCCATATCTTTGATCCTTTACAAACTGTTAAGAACCAAGTGTCTTGAACCCTGATCAGTTGAAGTCTAACAAATTTTACAGTTATTTCGCAGGTGATTAATAGTGGGATAAAATGACAAGGACAGTCTTAAGAATTCTTCCAGCTAACAAAGACATTTAAATAAATTAAAGGAGTCCCAGTGTGTTGAAAAACTTGAAGTTATTTCCCTGACAGTCATTTGACATCTGGTAATAACCATTAATATTTTCAAAGTATTTTCTCTTCCCTTTCAGACATGCTGGGGAGCTTTCTGAGCCCCTGGCTGTGTGGCTCTGTGACAGCAGCCTCCTCTTCTACAACATCGGCTGGTACAAAAGCACACAGGGCTGGAAATCAGCTGCCTTGCCCTCTACACTCCACACCAACTCTAAGACTTTGGGTAAGTGACTACCTGTAAAATGGAAGGATGGAAATCAGATGGGTTCTTAGGCTCCTTGGAGCCCTCTGGTTTTAAAATTCTTTATCACCCAGCACGTCAAGCCTTGTTTCCATTGAGGATTTTAATCTTGGCTGCACTTTTGAAGGTGGGGAGCTTTAAAACTAGATACATACGTCTGGGATGCCAGCAGATTTTCTGGGTGAGTCTTGGGTATTGTTTGAAAAGCCACTTGGGGGAGTCCAATGCTCAGCCCAGATGGAGACACACTGGTGGACTGGGTAAGAGGGGTGTCATAATGAGCACGGTGGGACTGGGGACATGTGGTCATTGCTCAGGTACTGGGCACCCAGTGCTGGCCCTTGGAGCAACACAGAGTTCAGGGTCTGAGCAGACCTTCCACCGTCGCAATCTCTCCCATGTTGCAACAGCCTCTCCCCAAGTTCTCATCATCTGAGAGGGCGCAGAGGTGGGCACAGCAGCCAGGAGAGCTCACCATCCAGGCGCAGTGAGGGGCTGGCTGAGAGGTGACACCTGGATCGTTTTGGGGATGAATCGGCGTGACTCGGTGAGACCCATTCTTTCTCTTTCCCTTTTGACACCACCCTCCATTTGGACTGTCTTCGCCTGGCCATAGTTTCCTACCACCAAGATGGAATGCCTACCTGAGAACAAGGGCGAAACGCAGGAAGGCCATGCGGGCGGATGGAGCTCCAGAAACACTGGTTGAATGTCTGGACCCAGATGCACCCGCGGCCATCTCCCCGTGAACTTCTCAAGACCTGGGTACATTCCTTCCTGCACTTAAGAAAGCAGAGTGAGGCTTCTGCCGCCTGTGTCTGAGGGACTCCTGACAAAGACAGCAGCCGGTCTGGAAAAACCCGTCTCATGCTCTCACTTTTTGACACACTTTGCCATTTTTGGAGAACAAGATAGATCATGCTGAACAACTGAGAAAGGTGTGCTGTGCTCCTTCGGGTCCATTACGGTCTGACCTTCTCTGCCAAGTATCATCCTGGACCTGGGAGCTCGTCAGAAATGCAGAATCTCAGGTCCCACCCCATACCTGCTGCATCCTAATTTCCATTTAACAGAATCCCCAGGTGAAGTGCACGCACATTAACGTCTGAGAAACGCTGCTCCATAAAATCCATATGGCCAAGTGACTTGCCCAGAGAATGATGAATATGTACCACAAAACCCTATTATCATCAATTCCAAGGGGCAAAGAACTCATCCGTCTTTAAGTGGGGAAAATAGCACAGGATGTCAGTCCTGAAACTGGGTCGCCTTTGTGGGGATTTGGGGATTTGAATTCTGCAAGGAGGGATCAGGAAAGGCAGATGTGCTGGAGCTTACCCTGTTCCATCCACAAATACGTCTGTTCTGTGCACCTAGAGGTGCCTCCTGAGTAGATGGGAGAACCACAGAGATGTCTCAAGCCCCCAGGGCAAGGGACCGCTGAGCAGAGTCCCCAGCACACATGTGGCCAGCCCCATGCGGAGCACCACTGTTTTCAGGGTTCTCCCCCGAATGCCCATCCAGAGCCCACAGAAAACACATCCACTTACAGGCCACTGTGGGAGCCAGGGGAGTTGAGGTCATGGCTTAACCTAAGAAATCACAGCACCCCACGAGTGTGTGAGAAGACAGGGCTTTTTAGACCTTTTTGTCTGGATGCAAGTTCACAAATAGTCCAGGTTTGATGTGCCACACTGGCAGATGGGCTCTGGCCACACAGAGCAGGGAGGGAGAAGGCTGGCCCAGGAGGGACAGCAGCGCAGGGCAGATGTGCCCTAGGATGTGCCCAGGAGGGAGGCACTGGGAAGGACCAGCCCAGGAAGCACAGGTGCCGAGAGTCGAGTGTCCTTGGGGCCGAGGGCATCCTGTCCAGCCAGACCACCATCCTGGCAGTCTCCTCAGCATCCAAGGGGCCGGGAGGCAATGAGGACATAGCCGTGCAGACTCAACTCTGGAAGACCGAGCTGGAGGGCCAAGGCCAGGGTCATCAGATCTGGGAAAGGAGCCTGTGTGGGGTGGGGCAGGGCGGAGGGCCTGTGGGGATTCCAGTGAGACCTGGTGGGGGAGGAGGGCGGGCATCCTGCTGCAGAGAGCTGGGTGTGTGTCAGCCACATGCTTCTGGCCCAGGAAAGTGAACCCTGGGGACCATGTTATACCTGCACTAAAAGACTGCACGGGCCAGCCCCAGAGGCCACCGGCACTTCCTGCCACACCCCCACCCTCCTGCACTCTTCCCCTACAGCTGTCTCCAGACAAGAACTGTGGACCAGGCGTCCCCGCCATCAGGATGTTTTCACATGGGTAGGGGTGGGAAGTGGGAACAGGTCCCATGTCCACAGTCAAGGAGCCAGAGGAAACCCCCTACTCATACCAGAGTAAGCAAGAGTGTCCCAGAGGCACAAATTAACAGCATCTGCCTCAACCCTCCCTGTGCCCATGCTGTAACCCCCAACACACATGCACAGCACACATAAACACGTATACACATGTGTACACACAGAGACCACAGAGACATGCATACACACGTGTACACACAGACACACATGTACACACAGAGACACGTATACACGTGCACACAGATGTACAGAGACACACATACACATGTGTGCACACACAGACACACAGACTCACAAACATGTGCACACAGACACACAGAGATACACATACACACGTGTGTACATGTAGACACACAGAGACACACGTATATACATGTGCACAGAGACATATACCCATATGCACTCACAGGCCCACATACACATGTGTGCACACAGACACACAGAGATGCACATACTCGTGTGCACATGCAGATGACAGAGACACACATACACACATGTACACACAGAGAAATAGACACACATACACATGTGCACACACAGACACAGAGACATATACACACATGTGCACACACAGACACAGAGACACACATACACACATATGCACACAGACCCAGAGATGCACACATGTGTGCATACAGAGACACACATATATACGTGTGTGCACAGAGACATATACCCATGTGCACACACAGACACACAGAGGACGCAGACACAGACACATGCGTGTACATGCATATATGCACACACATGCATCACACAGAAACACATACACACAACTGCACATCATGACAGCTGCTCCTAGCATGGCTCTTTCTAGAACCTAATTTGGAGGCATCCCACATGAAGATCAGAGAAGCAGAGTCTCAGAGGATGATCCGAAGTAAGCCTTGGGACGAAGTCAACCGTGTTGGTGGGTGACATGCATAGGGCAGGCCCAGGAATAGCGTGAGTCCTCAGGGCAGCACCGTGCAGTAGTTTTGTCTCAAAGTTTCAAACACAAGCCTTAGCTGGCCTGGAACCCCGCCTGCCCACTGTGCCTGGAAGGAGGAAGCACTGTATTTGTGGCAATTTTACAGAAGCAGCCAGGACACAACTATAGACGCTCTTCCACTTACCATGGGGATGTGTCCCAATAAACCTACTATCAACTGAAAACATCATCAGTCAAAATGCATGTAGCACCCCCAAGCTACGCAGCATCACGATTTAGCCTACCTTGAATGTGGGCTCAGAACACTGGCACTGGCCACAGTCGGGCAGAGTTGCCTAACCCAGACTGCATTTTATGATAAAGTATGAACGTCTCAAGTAACTTATTGAACACCATCCTGAAAGTAAAACACAGAAGGGTTGGGTGGGTGCTGGAAGCGCGGCCCCCGCTGAGTGAGTGCCGCTTTCATGCCATCCAAGAGTAGAGAGATTGCAAGTTGAACCACGGCAAGTCAGGGAGACCCTGTGTTCTCTGCTGAGGACAAGGGGTGGATACAAAACAGGCAACCCCCCACACCTCCAGAGAGCTCACGGTTTTGTGGAAGATGAACCAGCTCACAGACACCAGGGCAGATGTGTGGCTAGAGAAGGACTCACGTGTGTCAACTGTGGTTCAGCGTCAGCCTAAAGTCCAGACCAGGGTCTTCACTGTGGCTCTCCACATACTAATGATGCCATGTGGCTCAGCTGGCTGAACCCCTGTGTGTCTCAGTTTCCCATCTGTCAAGTGAGCATAACCACAGCTGTCTCTCCGGGTGGAGGGGAGGCTGAGTGAGCTAAAAGCGGTGGGACAGCTGGTGCTGTGGACAGCGGCAAGTGCGGGTGTGTGGGGAGTGTCACTAATGGATGGGGCAGCCTTGGGAGTCCCAATCCTGGGACAGTCCACGAGGAAGACCATGGCGATGGGGACCTGAGCTGGGCCCTGAAGGATGGAGAGGGTTGGGAGATTCCAAACAGGGGAATTCCAGAACCTTCTTCATCCCGAGTGGCTGCGTTGAGCAAGGGTGTGGGAGCCTGTGGAGAAGCTCTGTGGGCGGGGTGACCACATGCATCTGCTTCCAGCTCTGACAGCTCATGGCCTCTGACGTGCCTGGGACCACCCCTCGGTTCCTGACATCTCTGGTATCAAAAGCCTGAACCAAATTCCCCGGGTTCTGTAAGGCCCCTTCCTATTCCAAGATGTTGTAAGATTACAGCATTTTAATTATCTCTGAGAGTGCCAGGTGAGTGATCCATGCCACAGATGCCTTAATAGGCCCTTCAGAGCCTGTCTGGAAAGAACAAAGATAATTTTAACTGATTTAATAAGGAAAGAAAAACATAACTAGCTTGAATTATTGACGCTTTCTTTCACCTTTTGCCAAGATAGACTTGAACTCATTTGAAAGAAAAATGTTGCTGGATTGCATAAAATACATGGAACCTGCTTTCTACTTAGCAATCTCTTTATTTTATCAATTAGGAGCGGGAAATGTAGAGAAATGTGGAAATGAGGAGTCTCTGCAAGGGTCGCTCGGTTCCTTTAGAGGCTGATTGATGGCGGGGATAGAGGCGGAAGCGTCCACCTGCCTGAGGGGAGATAACTGAGCATGGCTGGCATGTCTGTGCCGGGTCTTTGACCAAGCTGGGTGACCCTGGGCACGGATTTTGAATGGCACAAATCACCGCTGAGCTATCGGCTGCCTCTTCCCCAGCCCCTCCTGCTCTGTGCTCCCAAGAACCAATGTCCCCCACTCCCCAGGTGCCAGCAAGGGGCTCGGCTTTCTTCACATGACTCTGGGGGCTGACAAGGAACCAAACGGGGGGCCCCCGAGAGTCCCACCACACCCACAGCCAGCGCAGCGCCAGGCACAGGGTGGCCCTAGAAACAGTGAAAGCCAAGAAGGACTGGAAATGCCAGACGGCAACCGACCCATGAGACTTTCTCAGGCAGCCCTTGAGTTCACGCGTCATAGAGCGATGGCGGAAATGTAGGGAAGCGGAGGCTGAAGGCCTGACGGGGTCTCACTTCCTTGAGAAGGGGGGAAAAGGGCATGTGTGGGAAGGAAGGAAACGTTCCCCAGTATTCAAGCCACGAGGGCATTCTCTTCCTTAAAGAAAAGTCCAAGATGCTCCCATTTTTAATGCCAGGAATACGTTAGGGGGATAGTCACACGCATGTACAACAGAAACTGGTGCTCCTGGAAGAAACCAGGCAAAAGCAAAGAATCAGACATAAAAAACTGGACACAACACAACAAAAAACCAGGCCCATCGTCATCTGAGGGGTCCATTAAAATTGTTTGTATTTTCCAGTGAAAAAGTAGGCCACACCCGGTGTTGCGGACACACACGTTGTTTAGTTGGTCTGCTCCAGTTGGGTTTTGACTTTCCTAATTTTTTATATGCTTCACAGTGATTTCACAGGGAGGTAGAAACCTTTGATTTTTCCAGCACTTAGCTGCTTTCATCTGGCTCATGAATGGGTGGCCAAGCCCAAGTGTCAACTTGACAGAAATAGAGTTCACAAGTCAGTGTTTGGACGAGAAGCCCATAAAAAACAGTTTGGGCTTGAAAGGGATTTCCACGGAAGCACAGACTTCAGAGCTGGCGCTCTCGCAATTACCGCGTCCAGCTCGAGCTGGAATCCAGGCGGACCTGTTGTGGCCACTGTGCCACGAGGGACAGATCCCGAGTCAAGGGCAGTTTGTCATTTTCCACCATTGAAAAGTCTCCAGGCACCCCCGGCTTCTGCTGAGGCTGGACTCGCTGCTCCGACTCTGTTGCTCAGCTCCAGAGCCTTCTGGAATGCGGCATCTTCTTCAGGTTCCACATGGAGGCTCCTCAGGGCTCTGGCTCTCCCCAGGGAGCAGCACCACCACCGCTTGCCCGCCCACACTTGCACAGAGAGAGGAAAGGGGGCCTCTCCTGCAGCAGCTGAGGCACTGTCTTCTGAGAAGGCGCCTTGCCGTAGCTCTTCCTGAGCCCATCATGGTGGCCGGGGACAGGGGAATGGAGGCCCCCCTGGGGATTCGCAGTTCTCCCTGC